AGGAACTCTGTAAAAAATGGCTGTAATTCCTAAACGGTTAATGCAATATTTTTGTTAAACCCCTTGAATTAAAGCTGAAAGTCTACGCTTCAGTCACATCTTGACTGCTTCATTTCAAATCCACTGTGGTGGTGTACAGAGGCAAAATTACCAAAACTGTGTCACTGTCCCAATATTTATGGACCTGACTGTACATCCCGCCTGTGACTCATGCACATTCACACTGCAGTGGGGTTGTAGATTGTGGCACAGAATGTGATGGCATTCATAGTCATCATTCGCATAAGTTAATCCCACTTCCTCTGCTTACTTCTTCATGGAAGATGTGGAAGAGCGTTAAGCAATCATAATGGATAACTAAAGCGGGTGTGCCTAGGACATGCCATATTCTTTTCACTTCTTCATTATCAGCTGTCCTGAGTACAGACAAACTGTCATATGGCCTTGTTAAAGTTGTTGTTTCAGTCACTACAACTTTTGCCCTCTGTTGCTCACCAAGCCACATTTTCTGTCTGTTTAAGGTGGTGGCTCATTATTCCTCAGAGAAAACAGCAGTGGTAATGGTGGGATTGCCTGAGCCAATTGTCTTTGCCGTTCTTAACAGTATTTATGCCTTCTTCTGTCTGCACATCTGCCAGCACATCTGTCTGAGGATTAGGAAGTCTTAGAGTGCTTTTTTAAAGGGCTGGTGGAGAGACTCACACCTCTAGTCTTGAGCAATGGAAGAAGGAAGAGTTCTTCAACCTCCAAACAGTACACTCAGCCTCACAGCTACCAAATCTGAAAGAGCTATGTCAGCCTCTTCGGCTTTAAGAGATTCTTTAAGAGAGTCAAGTTAAACTGTAGAGTGATGAGAAACTCCAGTGTCTAGATCAGGAGCTTTCAATATATTCCCAAAAGAATAGTAGCATTGTCTTTTCATTAAACACAACTTATGTCAAAGAAGTTACAGTATAAGCATTGTGTTATTATATAATATAACCCCTTTGACAATTTTCTTCTTTCTAATCAGATGCAGCAGTCAGTCATATGAACTCCTAGGAATTATATGAGCTAAAACTAAAAGTAAGATTAGAATAAGAATATACTTAAACATCTGCACACCTAAATTAATTGGAAACCCTAGTGTTCATTAGCAGGATGTTGGTAGGAATATGCTTTTTGATTTTCCCCAACACCAACATTATAATATTTTGATAAATAACTGGAACAGGCATGGCTATTATGCACTAGAAAATCTCTGATAATAATTCCCTTCACAAGTGTGTTCTATGAAGCTTTATTTTGTAACCAGAAAAATCTGTTGGTTTGTAGTGTGTAGCACATGGTTGCAGTATAGTATTAGCAGTAGCATTCTGAGTAAAGTGGAGAGGCTATTGCTCACAAATACCCTTAATAATCCAGTTTATGTCATGCTATTTTTAAGGCATTTAAATATATTTGTGAATGAGGTTGTAATATTATCATGCTAATATGTGAATTACATTGTACAGATCATGCAATAGATATCTACACATTCTGATAATGGTTTTAAAGTCAGATCCTAATTCAGCACAGTGCTGCTCTTCAATGCTTTGTATATAAAAAAAATCACGGTGATATAAAAGTGCGTGATGAGAAGGGTCAGCACTCCGCTCTTCATATATGACAGATGCTCTTAGTGGTATTAAAGCTGCATACATGTGTCACTGGAACAACATAGAGACATCCAGAGAAGAAAAAATTAAGCCTTAGCTTTACTCACAATCCTCAAATGGATATTTCTATGCTCCTTATTTAAAAGAGAATTCATCCTTTTTTCAACAAAAAGGTGTTTGTTATATTTTATGCTGCAGTGGTTGAGCAGTAGTGATGATTAGCATGGAATTAGACTGAATCAGATAAGGAAAGTTGTAGGTTTTGTGAATTTTGAGAGTTCCAGTACATTTCTGCTTTTGGACTGCTCTCAAACAGAACAACAGAAAAAAAAAAATAGATTAACTCAAACAGGAACTGTTTAAATAGGACAACCAGACAACCTTAAAGCACCTACTACCACAGAAAACACTCAAACTAGGTGCACTCAAATCAGAGCACACTTAACTGGGTCAGTTGAAACAAAACACACTCAAACATATTCAGATTTTTTTTTAACTATGAAGCTATTAAAAAGGAGGGATGTGATCATTTACTTAATTTACTGGGATTTTGAATAAAGTTAAAGGGATTAACTATCCAGTGGCAAAGTTACTTCTCAGATTTCCATCCATCCATTTTCCATACTGCTTATCTTACACAGGGTCATGAGAAACCATAGTAAACCCCCAAAGCAAACTCATGCAAGCTCCACACACACACACACACACACACACACACACAGAGGGCAGAGGTGGGACTCAAACCCCCGACCCTGGAGGTATGAGCCAGACATGTTAACCATTAAGCCACCATGTCACGTCAGGGATATTTACACACTTGTCCTTCTGACCTATAGCCTTACACAGGTTCACCTTCCCTATATATAATTAGAGGTGTTCCTTGGATTCAAATCACAGTCAGCTTTATCTTATGAGACATTATTACAAGCTGGACCTTAACAGAAATGTTCTGGACTGCCATTAAACCTACTTGTGCCAACACTTTAGCTACACTACCTAACTTCGAGCCTTCACTGGAAGGTCAGTGCACATTACATGTAGTGCACGTTAAAGTAAATCAGGCACAGGATATTGGACATAAGGTTTTTTTTTTTTAATTGAGTTTATACCCTGAAGGGTCTCTGTAAGTGAATGTGTTTTGATCAGTGCAGGTGCTGCCTGAACAGAGAAATTCTGTTGCCATAGGTTACTAGGTATGTTATCTCCTGTACACTATATGTGACCTTAGGCATCCAGGCATGGGTGGTTGACAGGAGAGTTTTTGCAATGGGAGGTTACATACAGTTGGTTATCTGTATGCATGAAACTTCAATAAAATCCATCTACATTCTCCTAAGTTTTGTGCCTACCTACATTTCTTTTCCAAATATATAAAAGGGAGAAAAGTCTACAATCTAAGAATTAGGTCTCAGGGTTTGAGATGCTGTGAATGTTGTTTTTGTGTTGAATGTTGTGAATGTTGAATGCTTGTTTTTTTTTTTTTTTACCTGAAAACTTCATAGAAAGGACAAAAGCAAGTATAGCACTATTTAGTGAAATTTCACTTAGTATGTTCACTTAGTATGTAGTGAGGCCATACTATTGAACTTTAAGATTTAATATAGGTAGAGGTGAGGAGGAAGATATACAAGATGAATTAAATCATTTGTAGGTTATATAGGACAGGAACTGCTCAGAGATCAACTCTAGACACTCATTTGATCATTGTGGATGCTGTGGATATTACATGTCATGGGAATGTCCTGGCCACTATAAGTTGGAGAGGTAGTACAACAAAATTGGTGCTTGATGAGAATGAAGGTGCCATGTTTCTGTTTTGGTATTTTGATAATTGTGGAAATGTTACATTATTACTCCAGGGAAATCATTTGATTATTTGGTGATTCCACCACCAAGCACAAACTGTGTATGCTGGAAATGTGAAAAGAGATGAAGAGAGAAAGAGGAGGGGTAAGTGATTAAGAGACAGAGATGCTTTCCAAAGCTGCTTTCTAAAGCAGAATGTGGAAAAAAAAAGGGACAACGAGAAACAGGGACAGAAAGACAGCTGGATTGAGGGTTGGATATTAATGCTAATGTAAGTAATAATCTCAATGGAAGCAGGAAGCATGGATACAATCGATGTCCCACAGGATAAGATTGTAAAAAAGGTGAGCATTTTGTTTATATTACTTGTACTTGTAGCTTTTCTGTAGAGCATACTGTTAAATTTTCACTCTGTGATTATGAAATAGTAAAGTTACTTCTCCACTTGATTAAAATGCACAACAAAGGTTTGAGGAAAAGGAAATTTGTTGCCCTCAAACTATTCAATTAAATTTAGTCTCAAATGAATAACTATAATGAACATTTATTATCTGAAGCTTTTTAAGAAAGATTTTTTTAAGGTTTTGAGGCATCTGAAATACTAAAACTGAGATTATGTTTGTGGCCTTAAATTGCTATGTATTATGTCAGTAATACATAATACAAGTGGTTCATTCTTTAGTCAGTGCTCTTAAATAAAAAGAGTGCAAGTTCCTGGGCATTTTTACACTTTATTTAAATTTATTACAAACTGGGAAATCCATGTTGTTGACAGCTGCATTCCTACTAATTCCTTTTTCATTTTTATTTTTAAATCATATAATTTTACAAGGCTTCCCCAGTTCAATTTGTACTTGTCATATCAACATGTGTGTTTTAGTTGAGTATAGCAGAGTGAGATTAAATGTTTTTCATTCCGGATCCATTAATTTCTTACTTTACTTAATAATTTTGAATATTAGCACCATTATTTCCAGATGATTTTGCTTCCCTGGTTTGTCTCCATGCAGGGATCCATTAAAAACAAGATCGAGAAGCTGAGGAGATGGAGCACCTCCCCAGGTGGGAGCTTCAAACACTCATCCAAAATGAAGACCCTCAGCTTGAGGTCACCCACCGAGGCAGAAGAAGACCTATGTAATGACGAGAATGAGCGCAGGGAACTCAGACCTATGGTGGCGTCTGTTTTTGGTCAGGTATGAAAGAAACAGCAGGGTCATGGCATTTTCTAAGACAATTTTTGTGCAGGAGATACTTTAGTAGCCTTCCTCTGACATTTTAATTACATTTTGTCCTTGTGATTCTTGGTGATTTTGGGTGTTTTTGGTCATTTTCACCCAGTTTAATCCCAGATTTATCTTCTTGTAATCTGAGAGTGTAAAGGCTGCAAAAACTCAGCATTTTGCATGGACAGCACATGACCCAACGGTATTAAATGGCTATATCTTTTCTGTAACTTTTGCCTTGGTTGTCATCGGTGCTTTTCTGCGCCTCATGGTGACCTGTAGCAGCATGAATAGAGAAATGGCTTAAGCAAATCGGAAACATTTTCAGAATATGGTATGTAGTATACCATTTAAAAGTCTCAGATGTCCCAGGTTTAGCTGGCTTGTTTCCTGCAGGGATGTCTGCACTGGATACAGCTTCTGTGTTTAACTGAGTGGCGTGTAGCCTGTATGGCTCAAAATGACATAACTGTGCAATAATATTATTAATATTATACCACAGCTCTGCTGAATTCTCGAATTTGTTTGATCGGAACGTGCTGACTAATTTTCTACAACAGCACAGCTAATGTTTTGCTGTTAAACAAAGAAAAACATAATTGTTGATATTATGAAGGTTTCGTTTTTATGAAGATGTTTATTTAATATTTAGGGAAGGAGTCTCCAGTATCAGTGCTCCATGAGAGGACTTTACTTTTCAGCCTTCTCAGTTAGATGATAGACTGTGGGTTTTTTGTCTTATTAACTTCAAGAAAGAGAAAAAAGAGAGGCAGAGAGGCTGGTGAGGGAATGACTGTTTATAGTTGCTATTATGTAAGTGATGTGTGAACTAACTTGTCTCACAGACATCCCCCAACATTAAATGTAAATATAAATGATTAAATATAAATGAAAAGGCATGTGAAGTTAGCTAATAAATTAAAGGATGTAATTGTTGACAAATTGTTGTGGTATAAAAAGGATTAAAACATAGCGGGGCATGCTGTTATTGAAAAAGAATTAATTTTGGGGTGGAAATGACATCACACCACCATGTTTATTATATTCCTATAACAGCATGGCCTGTTGTGTTTTATTCCTGATGAAATGTAATGATGCCAAGACAAAAATTACACTGAAAAATACTATTCATTATGTATTTGTTCTTATGCCTCAATGCCACCTCAGTGTTGTGGTGAATCCATGTTATATTATCTCCTAGAAATTGAAGCTAGATTGTCTTTATTAGATTATGGGTAGAAACAGTAAAAGCTTAAAGGGCATTTGCTCTGAGGTCACAATGGTGAAATGAATGTTATTTATTGACTCAGTGCAGAGAAAAAGGCTGAAATAGAGAGGGATTGTGTATTTGCTGGTCCACTGGTAAGGTCTGTGTGCTTGTGAACATGAACAGTGAGGTTGGAGCTTCCCTTCTTGGCTGAATCTCTGTCATGGACAATGAGGGAGAGAAGTCCTAATGCCGGGCTGAGCATATGGACAGAGCATTTGTTGTATCTGGCTTCATACCCAGTGTGCAGCTTTCTTATGCTTGCTCTGTATGTGCTGCCAGTCTGGAATATTTGCTGTAATCATCACCTTTCTGCTGTGAATGGCTTCCCAGTACCTGTAGAGAGTAATGACTCCCACTGAAATAGCTGCACTAGAACTTCTACAAATAAAACAATATGTGTAATTCACTCAATTCATTTTAGCATAAAAGACACTTAGCATTGCTGCCAATCCTGAGCTCGGTTACTGTCACTGCTGAGATCCCCACGTTCTCCTCGTGTCTGCGTGGGTTTCTCCGGTTTCCTCCCACTGGGATAGGCTTCAGATCCACTGTAACCTTGAACAGGATAAAAAGGTTACTAAAGATGAATGAATAAATGACTAAAGGACTTGTATGTAGACTGGCTATTCTAAATTGCCCATAGCGCTCTGTGTGCGTGCGTGTGTGTGTGTGTGTGTGTGTGTGTGTGTGTGTGATGCCCTGCAATAGACAGCATACCTTCCATGGTGTACTCCAGCTTTGTGCCCAGTGTTTCTGGAATAGACTTCAGCCCTGAATTGCTGAATTGCATCATGCATGAAGCTGAAGGCGAAGCTTTGATCTGAGGAACTGACATCAATATATTTACTACAATCTAAAATAATTTACAGGCTGCTTACCTCTAAGATTAAATTTCTGGCAAGCAATCTTATGTGTGTGTACAGAGCCAACTACTGTTTTGTGCCTTAATCAATCCTCTCCACCTACACTGGAAATAAGACGCGTGTTCATTTTGGTTTGTCTGTGACAGATTTAAATGCACAGATGATTTGTTGCTCGATTGGCACCTCTAAATTGTCCATAGTGTGTGAATGGGTGTGTGAGTGTTTGCGTGATTGTGCCCTGCGATGGGTTGGCATCGGCTTGTGCCTCGAGTCCCCTGGGATAGGCTCCAGGCTCCCCGCGACCCTGTGTAGGATAAGTGGTACAGAAAATGGATGGATGCATGGATGGATTTTGTTGCCCTTAAAGGCAAATAAACTTTAATGATGGGTCAGGATTACAGCATAACTCACCACACTTGCTGGATTTTACACATGTAACCAACTGATAAGAAAGATTAGAAGGCTGGCTATCATGTTGTATCTGCAATTTCACTCCCTGGCTGTATCTCTCCATAATATCTATTATTACATAATGGCATGATGTAACATATGCAATGTAAAAAAAAGTGCAATGCATTCCAATCAACAGTGACAAGCCAACGGTGTAACCGTTTTACTAAGACTCAGAAGA